AGTGCCTTTTTAAACTATATATCTGGGGGGGAGGGGGGGATTGCCCCCCAGGGAAAGAATGCCCCCTCCCCCAGTAAAGCCATTTCTGCCCCCGAAGTGCGAAGCAGAATTGCTCATGATTGCTGTCAGAATTGCAGTTGATTTACTTGATAATGAGATTAGGCCCTTCCATAGCCTCCTCCACAGCTATCTTGTGTGTAATTCATATTGTTCTTCACCAAGTATTTCATAATAGCGATAGATTTCATGCAAACAATCCAATAGAATGCTGTTTCAAGAAGAATACATTTAGTTTGAGAAAGCGGAAATGCGGAAATGGTGTCTCATAGAACCGAAAATGATTTAAATACAACATTTCTGATCAAAATCACATAGGGATACCCCCCCCCCAGCATCACAGAGAGGAAATAAGGTGACACTGACCCCTCCTCCTAGTCTCCTCAAGGTGACTTTTCCAATTTATTTAATTCCGAGTAGAAATGTCTGGAAAAATTCATGTCTTCGATGTACTTTATAATCTTCGGAATTCTGCTAGATTTCACTCCCAAAATGCTTGAAATCGCAATTCAGGGACCCTAGATTTAGAAGTTTTCCCGGGGGTGCATGCCCCCGGACCCTCCTAGACGGTCTCACACTTCGGCGCGCATGAGGTTCTCCCCCCCAAAAAAAAATTAAGGTCTGGCTACACCACTGGTATAGCTTTACGATTATAGCTACAAAGAGTTGAAGTTATTCTTTAAAGTAAAATACAGGTGGAGTTAATAAATTAAAGTTTTACAAAATCTCTCTTCAGACTCGCGCGTTCGCCAAACCTCGACAGCCCATATTTTTCGTTTTGCCTTTTTTTGCTGTCCCCTCCCCAGTGAAAATTCCTTAAAAAAGGCACTGGATAAGTCTGTGAGAAAGGTCAAAATACAAGTCGGTATTAAACATTATCAGGAAGATGTATCTTTGAAATCCCTGAAAGGTAGAACACTTCTTCTAACTGTGGATCCAGACATCGATGCTAACCATCTGTTAAATGAGGCTGTTACAAAGCACTCAAAACATTTTCGAACATTTGATTGTGATGTGGAATACCACTTTTATACCCTGATAATACTGTGGTTCAGTATCTTCGTTCTTCACAGGACACTTTCACACTACGAAAGTACAAAGAAGAGTTGGGAAAGCCATATTCTAAGATTAATTTGCATTTGTGTGCTGTACGATGTTTACAAAGGGCCGAGACGGATTTTATGGTAACTGATGATGAAGTAGATGAAATACAGCCGGAGAAGGTCAAACGTCATTCAAGTGCAGATGCCCAAATTCGACCAGTTAAAAGAAAATCTACTCAGCTAGAGCTAGCTAGTTCTACTCAGCCTAGTATTCGACCATTTCTTTTTAACGGTGATATTCAGCCATCCAATGGTGACAATCAGTTATCCAATGATGATAACAGCAGCAAGGTTGTGTGTCCTTTGTGTTTCAGTCATTTTACTGCCAACGAAATTGCTACACATGCAGATGAATGTGTCGATCGGTTTGACCCTGTTGGCATTGTGAGCGATGATGATGACAATGACAATGATGTGGAAAATATTATTGGGATTTCAGTCTTATCAGGTGAACCCAAAAATACCAGTGTTGATCCTACCATTGAAGAAATTAAGGAAGTTATTTAATCTAAATTGTGTCCAAATGTTAACAAGGATAATACAAATAGAGTTTCTATCAGAAGAAAGTATGCCTTTCAAGATTATGTAGATGCACGCAAAAATCCCAGACGACAATTTAAAGAGAATGCAACACTGAAAGTTATATTCATTGGAGAACCTGCTGTAGATGATGGAGGGCCCCGGCGTGAATTTTTTATTGGTACAGTACATTGAATTTAATTAATATTTTTGAGATTTTAGACCACGGTGTTTTGTAACCTTGAAGCTGTAGCATAATTCTTCATTCTGGCTAACCATACCACTTGTTAGGATTTATTGTTTTTGTCCTGATATATTATAGAATCACTGGAGCAAGTACGAAGAAAGCTTTTTCTTAATGGTGCTCCTGTTGTCAATATGGATGCTCTTGCCAAGGAGGAATTTAAAATCGCTGGGGAACTGATGAGCATGTTAATTGTTCAAGGTGGTCCTGCTCCATGTTTTTTTAACAAATGTGTATACTTATACATTGCAAATGGTGTGGACAGCATAAGTACTGATATTGCTGGTGATGTTGTGGACGATCTACATCTCAAAGATGTCATCAGTAAGGTAAATACATGCAGTACCTAAAAGCAATGCAGATTGTGATGACATGCCGAAAGGGAGTTGTAAAAGAGATTCATAGCATAGGATCGGGGGGAGCGAAGCCCTGATGTAAAAGTAAGGATTTGAACATTAAGAGAATTGCTTTAAACTGTACCACATTATATACATTAATCTGGTAGATGAATTTATAGTGTCTAATAGCATACACAGTAAATCATACTTACTGTATTAATGTGATGCAAGCAACCATGTTGCAGTATAATGAGTTTTTATGTTTTATAGTTGTGTGCCCAATAAGATAATAAAGCCTCGTGTATCTTTACTATGGGAGGTGTTGTTACATTGGGTAATTAATTTATGTACAGGAGATATTGTTACTATACACATTGTAAGTTGTAACATGCTTTGGGATAAGTTGTTGCAAGTTGCTAATCAATGGGCAATGTACAGTATCATTACTTTTTCCACAAATATGTTTTGGGGGCTGCCTATTGTCTGTTCCTTTACAGATATCGCATTATGCAGTTGGTATAAATGATATATTATCTTCTTTATCATTTACAGTTAAAAGACTTGATGAAAGCACATTACAGACAACTTTAATGTCAGATGAGGTTCTTGACGTTTTACAAAAGGTTGCATATCGAGGAGTTCCGATGCGAGAAACATTGTCTTCCATGGACGCTATTATAAGGTAGATTTGCACAGTACAATTGTATACACAAATAGCTGTATGTACTGAATACAGTAGAGCCAATTCAAAAAAGGTTGACCTTTGCAAACCTTTTAAAAACTCTAAACCTTCAACTCTAAGCGCGCAAATTTTAATGGGAGCACGAGTTTCAAGCTGAGTAGTTGAATATTAGTCCAGCTATTTGTGAATGAATTGTTCTCGTAAGGACGTGTTTACCATGTCTCTACGAAATTGGCCCCATATATGATTTCTGAACTGATTAAATGATGCTCCCATTATGCTTTGCACACTTAGAGTTTAAGGAGAGTTTAAGGTTTGCAAAGGACAACCTTTTAGGAATTAGCTGTATACCATATATTTATTACTAGTAGGTGCTATCGCAAGGAAAGTGCTGCCTTTTAGCCACATGAATTGAATGCAAAAGTTTATACTTCAACACAATTCTGTAAAGGGAAGCCTTTCACTTTTGACCCAATGTGCTCATTTCGACGTTTCATCATTGTTAGCATGGAAGGCCTGCACATGATGGTTATATGCCGTATGATTCCTGCACAAATTTGTTTCTCGTTCATCATTTAAGACCAATCACAAACTTATAAATAACCAACATGAAAATGAGGCCATTGGGTCAAAAGTGGATAAACAGCATTAATAGGGTCTATTAACCCATTAGCTAACTCTGTTTAACGCCAGACAAATTAAATTACACTGCATGTGTAACGCCAGACGATTTTACTTGTCAGTGGTAGAGTACTGTCAGTAAATGGGTTAATTAACAAACCTATCTGCCAATGTCTCTTATTAACAACCCATTAGCTGGCAATGCGCCCTACTTTAGCATTTACTGTCTATCAATTTTTACCTTTTTACGATTTTTATTGTTTCTAATCATGTATTTACTCACCGCTTGGCCAAACATTCTTTATTTCATATCGAGAAAAAATTTGAATATTTTCTAAACTCTTCAGAAATTGCTCAGAGTCATGTGAGTAAAATACTCCTTGTATTCAAGTGCTTTCGTGTAGAAAGTTTCGTTTGAATACGGCACAGAGTAAAAAGATTTATTTTGAATTTTTCAAAATATCGAGTTTTTACTCGCACGCTTGCGCCACGTGTATACTTGGCCATATATAGCCCGATGCACGTGCAAACACTGGGAGTACTTTGATCTGTAGAATTTATTTCCGGTTTTTACAGACCCCCAGGATGTATTTGTTTTGATGTACGTTTCTTTCACCGGCCGCGCTAAAAATATTTTGTAAATACCGAAATAAAAGATGAAAATCTGAAGACACAAGCTTGAAAATAACACTATAAATAGTGTTTTGGATTCTGCTTCGAATGAGACTATTACGAAAAATATATGTCCAAAGGGGCCGAAGTTATGTCGACGAAATGTATCACCAGTTTACATTGTTGATTGTTCCTTATATAATGAAATATGATACCATATCTTACTTGTTAAAATTCGCATCGTACTATTATTGTATTAGGCAAATGTCGAGAACCATACAACAAATGTTTTAGTTCTTGTTGGTATTTGAACGCACGCTTTATCTTTACTACCACAAAGTTTTGCGCGCGGATTATATCGGGCAGCACTAAAATTTGCGTACTAATTAAGGTATATTGTGGACATTTGACTAAAATTATAATTCAATACAATTCTCGACTTTGAACAACTGAATAGTTTATAAATTCTAAACTCTTTCATATACATAGTAGCCAGAGATTTGTAGACTGTAGTAGGTAGCCATAAATAAGGTAGCCGTAGACATATTAGTCTTCATAGCAGAGATATGAACCTTAATTGTTTCCCTCGATTCTCAAACTCGTAAATATACATATTAACCAGAGATTTTTTATAGTACAGGTATAGCCATAAGTATATGTGGCCAATAGCCATGGACTGATAGACATAATAGTCTTCATAGCGGAGATCGATACCGGGGAGGCCGGGGAGATACGAACCCTGTTTCCCTCGATATAATTCGCAATTTTATATTAAACCGGGATATTCGCAACTTTATATTAAACCGGTTCATCACATCGATAAATAAACACTGATTATATAGTCTAAACTTACAAATATTAAATCACTTTAATAGTAGTCTTCATAGCAGAGATATGAAGCCTGAAAGGCTGTTTATAATTTTGACTGTTTCCCTCGTTTCATCACATCGATAAATAAACACTGAATACAAAATTTTGTTGAACAACCCCCTCAAATATACAAACGAACTTGAATACATAATATGTCCCGGAAAACCGACATCCTCCCTTCTTCGAATCGAGAATTCGACTATACATAACTCGGCCGGAAGGACTGGACACGAAAAAGCAAGAACGTCAGGAATAGTGTGCTGCCTCGCTGACGCTCGGCAGCAATTATATCGTGTTTCAAAAATTTGATTTCATAACAGACGGGCTGACCTGCATTGACCTGCGTTGCTAGGACCACTGTCACAGAATAAATAGCTTACCAAATGTCTCACTCAGCCAAAATGTTGTCATAAGTTCCTACAGGGTTAATTTATTCTTTATTTTAGATCTATTGTCATGTTTGAATTTAGCAAGTTACTGCCTATGCTGAACCAGATTATGGATGGCCTTCGTTGCTTTGGCACACACGATTTAGTTAGAAATTATCCAAACTTGTTGGAACATGTGTTTGTAGATTATGGGTGTTTTTTATTAAAGCCTGAAGAATTTCTTGCTGGTGTTACAGGGAAGTTTAGCGAGGTTGGCTCAAACAACAGAGAACGAGAAATTGATATTTTTAAGTTCTTTAGTGATTATGTTGAAGATATTGAATGCGATGATACAGGTAATTTACTTTAAATTTATGCAATGTTTTTTATTTGCATTAATGCTATTTTAATGGACGTTCATTTGAAAAGTCATACAAATAACTTCAGCTGGTATCCTGGATATCCAAACACTCGTAAAGAATTATTAAACAATAACATGCGGACTGCAGCCTCGCGTTTTCATACATTTTTTTTCTCGTGTTTGAATTTCCCGGTTCACAAGAACTCATTCTCGTTGTTCTTATATTTCTATTACAGTACACAGCCACTTAAAGTTAAAGCAGAAAAACGATTTGCGAATATTTTGGCAAACTAGTGTACGATTTTTCATTCGTTCTTCTCAAACCGTGTTTTCGATTACTGCAATATATATACTGTATGCTGTATGCTGTATGTGTTATACTCTGCAGGCATCCCATGCATGTAAGTTATTTCATTTTTAAAATTTTCATTTTGTAGGATGCTCTTTGCCAAAGCTGGTTCAGTTCATAACAGGAACGAAGACCATACCTCCTTTGGGTTTTCCTAATCCTATCAGTGTCAAATTCAAACATGGCTGCACCGAAGGATGTAAATGTCGACCAATTTCTTCAACATGCGATCTAAGCATCACTGTTCCCGTTCATTATGAAGCACTTGAATTCACTCTCATCATGAATTCAGCTCTAATTGAGTGTGCTGGTTTTGGCAGACTATAGGGCAATTAAGTACAGCAAATGACTAAATGAGCAAATCTAGTGTTATGTACAAAAAGGATAGGATAATTTAAAAAAAATTTACGTTACGTTCTTAGGTTTTTAAAAGTGCTTTTTGGAAAATCATCCTTTCAGAGATGATACTATGCAGATAATGACTGTTTTAAGGCCTTTATGTTTTGCTGATACTACAGTAGAACCTCAGAAACTACCAGTGGTAGTGCCAACCGTAGTTCTTGGAAACCAGTGTGCACGTGTGAAAACGCGTCATGGACCAACCTGGTCAGCAGTGGAGTGTACAACTCATGTCGAGGGTCACAAATAATTAGGTGTACACTCTTTTAATTTGTTTTGCGTTCACTAACATTTATAAAGAAATGCTGCTATTGGTTAACCTTGTTATGTAAATGTGCCCATCAAGCGTGAAGGCAAAGTAAGGAGCACAAACCTGAACAAAAATATAGAACATAAATATAGAACAAAGACGATCGACGTTACCCGCGTTTCCAGATCCTTCTTTCCAGGACTATGTGCCAAAACATGGCGTACCTGAAAATAGGTGCATGCCAGGTTGCTGAGAACCACATTGTGTAGATCATTCAATTATTTACATATTACTTTGTATTCTGAGGACTTTAATTAAAACACTATAATAGTAAAGTTTAGTTAAGAAGAAAGAAAACAAATCTGGGGTGGGAGTACCGGATGGACTAACTCTTCATTTCAAAAATAGTATTCAACAGTAATAACAGCAGTTTATAAAACCCGGAAGATTTCCTGTTTACCAACAAAAATAACACATGCCCATTGCCCATTCCAAAAATTGTATGTGCTTATTTAATAGAGCATGTCATGTACATTACGCAGTATAGAACTACATATATACACCTGTGTTTGTGACAGTACACTTGCTATTTGCTAAGCCTAAGATGCTATGTTCATCAATTGAATGCTACCTCTGGAGTTGTAGGGTTTAGAATCTCTTCGTTCTCCATTAAATAATGAAAATATTCCTGATATTCATTTTCCTCTTCCCTTGCATCAACCTGGAGTTCCATTTCTGCAATTTGAACATCAGAAACTTCTTGCAGGTTGTCCAGACCACCAGACCGTTGAGGAAGATAGAATAATACATCTGGACACCCAGAAACATTGTCGTGTCTTGATGGACGGATGTGATGTGAGTTCCAGCTGGTTTTAACTTTCTGGAGATCATCACTCAACACACCATTAAAGCAGAACCAAAGGCATTCTTTCTCAACTTCATTGTACAGATTGAGTGTACCAGAGCTGCACATGTCTTTGAAGAAATTTATCCACCAATGTGTCCTCATTTTTCGCATATGAGACCACCAATTTTCAATTCTTTGATTGCGTGTGGACGTCCCATACTTGTGGGATTTATCTGCAGCAAACTCGTCATTGCCATTAGCTCGAAAAAAACATTGCATTGCTGCCATTTTCCCATTCTCATTGCCGCGATCTGTCCCGAGTAAAATTGGGCATCCCTTGAGCTGTTTGACCGTTTCAAGAAAAAGATGAGCAGGAACTCCGGGTGAATTGTTTGATTTGACAACCTCTAGCCATAGTACTTTACGGCTGTACCCATCAATAGCACCATGTATTGGGAAACCAAATGGTTTCAATTTATCGTGACCTTTGAACAGATATGGTGCAAATTTAAAAAGAGTGTACAGTTGTACATTTATTTAGACAACATTCGCTCAAAATAATAATTTAATCCAGGGATGGATCCAGCGTGATCTTGGGGGCGGGGTGCTTTAGACTTTAGTGCTGGGTGAGTATGGTTGGTGCTATGTGGGTGTTGGTGTCGGTTTAAGGTTCAATGCGCCCTACTATATTATTGTACTCTCTAATGCCAGACAATTTCACCCGTCAGGGGGAGTGCTGCCACTCAATGGGTGAATGAGTATTTGGATTGTTATTCACTTAATATGAAGTTATCATCATGTTATTACTCAAATTACTGTATATCATTTTGCCTCTTGTATATTTATTTGATCATGCAATGGCAATTGCCTTGTTTTGATATGGAAATTAGCATCCCCCTACATCCCCTCATGGCTAGGGAGGGGAGGGGGTGCACCCCTCCCCAGAAAATCCATTCCTGATTCAATTAAATACAGGGTATAAACTGTAAAATGTTTCGGGTTTTCAACTGAAGGTTAAAGTGCTGATGAAACAAAATGTTTACCTCGTTTTTATTGTTTTTCTAAAAAGTACTGCTGGAGTGATGAAAGAATGACGTTTACAGTTTTTTCATATCTCATTCTCAACTCTCTCGCACTTTCTATATTTTGAGTTGTGACATCACAAGTTTGACTTAATATAATGGCAATAACAAGAAAGTCTGATATCTTGGTGAGTATAAAGAAACTTGGTACACTTAGTGGGTGCGCCCACATGAATATTTTTGGCAGGTCATTGGTTGTCATGGCAACACACTAGTCCCCAGTATCCTATCTTCCTTTTCACACATTTCCTCCTGTAGACCTCTTGCAAAGGATGTTTGCTTGTTATAACGGTTTAAACTGATACAGGTATTATAGTAATAAGCGATAATTGCAGAATTGCTATTTATTTCTTTGGAAATGGATCATGTAGAAATTCAAAGAGAAGGGACTGGGGACGAGTGTGTTGCCATATCAACCATATAAACAAGCCAAATTGTTCAATTCGTTGTACCCACAGAGTGTGCCAAGTTTCATTAAATTTTATTAAACGATCACCATGATATCAGATTTTCTTGTTATTGCCACTATTTCGAGTCAAACTAGTGACGTCACAACTCGAAATATAAAAAGTGTGATAACTTGGGAATGAGATATGAATAAACTGTAAACGTCATTCTTCATCATTTGAGCAGTACGTACTTTTTAATAAAGCAATAAAATAATGAAGCAAAAATTTCGTCTCATAAGCACTTTAATTTGAACTAAATAAAGTTTTACCTTCGAAGCGTATGTTCATTATTTATGGTAAGGGGTGTGTGTAAATTATGCGACAGAGCAAAATTTTGGGTCCTTTTTTGCAGGGGTGGGTTATTGGCATTTGTTATTGCAGTGGGGGAAGGGGGTCACAATATTTTGTATTTTTTAATATTGTTTGGGAGTATTATTTTATATATTAAATATATAAACGATAGGCCATATGTAATGCCAACCAACCAACCCCCTCCCCAGACTTAAATAGTCAGAGGAGTGAGAGAGGAATGGAGCTACCTTGCTGATTCTCTCCTTTAACCCCCCCCCCCCCCCCCTCCTCTGCATTCCTATTACCTCATCACCTTGTAATTTGATATTGTAAATAATTTATTCATATTTGTAACTTATTGTCATACTATATTCATTTACTCTGAAGATGTCTTAGGTTAAAGACGAAACGTTAGTACTTCTAAATAAATTTTATTTCTATATTTTTGTCTATATGGCTCTCTTTCGTACGTTATGCTGGGCATTAATCTTTATAATACGATTAAGCTTACCATCTACATGCCAACGGTGATTTGGTCCTGGTGATGAGTATTTCCTCCTTGTTACTCTTTTTGCTCTTCTTGCTTGGCTTGCAGCAGGATCTAGCTCACGTAGAATATTCACCATTTCTCTTGGTGGATGCACTTTATGAACCAGCCTGAGTGCATGCCAAATGGTTCTATATCCTGACTGCTCCCTAGCATCTGCCATCTCAACTCGTATTAGGTTTCGCACACTATTTTCATCCACTGGAACTCCCTTTCGATTTAAGCCATATGTGTGAAGCCTCCTTTTAAGAGTGCGAATACTCATCAAAACTCCATGATGTTGTTTCAAGAAATCAATTATAACTTCATAAGTATAGCCACAGTTAAAATAATATTCAATGACTTCCTTCTCAAGATCAACTGATGACTGATCAGCAACTGTAAACAAAAATTGTACATGGATATCTATGCCAATGTTTAATAGTGTGTCCTATTATTAATAATAATAAATCCTATTTTTAAATATTAATGCCTGCATGAATATTATAAAAAAATATAAAAAAAATATAAAAAGTGCATTGGGGTGCATTGTATCTAATGGTTAATCTCATGCTGGTGGTTGGCTTTAATTTTCACTGCCTACAAGTAGATGGATGTCAACAAGTAGAATGCAACTAAGGGAGTTATGAATAGAAGACTATAAACAGACCTAAATTATTTTAAGGGGTAATGACAACTGTCACAGATCAACACACCTACAGACTGTAGGTATGGTAGGTGTATAGGGGGTGCCCATGGCCAAGGGGGTGGCAGAACATTGAAGATTTGAAGTACCGTGAAACACGTATAATTTGTGAATTCAACACGATAACACATGTATGTAAAAATTGCGAATAGATGAATTCAACAACCCTTCTCTTTTGTTTTTTACAAATTCTACAATTTACTTATAAATATAATACGAAGTAATTGTCAATAATGACTATACTAGTCATCACTTAGAATATATTAATAAATTAAGTATAGACTCATGGAAGTTTGACTCACCAGCAATTCTATTTCCACAATTGTGACAATTGTCTTCGCATTGGCTCATGCCAATTTTTTATGTTAGTCAAATTAAACGCCAAATTATCACTTGTAAAAGAAGCTTTGGAATATATTTGCACAAGCAAGCTACAAGCAACAGAAATTTTCCTCTCGGCCGCTCCCCCTGGAAGTTGTAGTTCTCTGTTGGACGGGGGGGATTCGCCATTACGGTATATTTGTACTTAGAAGCTTCGTATTTGTACGGAGAAGCTTCAATTTGCACGGAGAAGCTTCACATTTGTACAGAGAAGCTTCATATTTGCCGAAGAAGCTTCATATTTGTACGGAGAAGCTTCACATTTGTACGGAGAACGATCGGATTTGCACGGAGCAAGTGATTTTGTACGGAGAACATTCGGATTTGCACGAAGAAACTGCATTTCCACGGAGAAGCGATAGATTTGTACGGAGAAGACGTAGCCCTTACGGGCCACCGTAATACTTTATATATATTCGTGTTCTGCACGACGGATTTCCTTTGAAAGCGATTGTTTTTTTACGGTGTGAATATACACCTTATATTTACATGAATATATGAATATACACCCCCTCCAATTATCGCTTCTAGCTACGGCCCTGCCTAGCGTTCAAATAGCATATAATAAGTATATGTTGATATATAGCGGTTAACCCTTCAAAATAACTCTCTATGCATTTCTATGCAGTGTGCATTGGATACACAAAATCTGTCGCCTCCATTTCCAATCACGAGGAAATAGGCAGTGTTACGTGTCTGTTCTGGCTGCCTCGAAAATCGGGGTAGTCAGAACAGTTCAGAACAGTCATGTGACTGCATGTCTTCTGTTCCATACCATTAGTGTTCCAAAAATCCGGAGTACTCCGAACAGTAAAATGTATGGAGCAGCTTGCTAAGTATAAAACGGCAGTGTCGACATAGCTCTAACTTCCGAAAAGGAAAAGCGATAGCCTTTCTGAAGTGCTTATAGTGTTTAGAAGGGTTGCTTTTAGGGGTGGTCATTGGAAGGAAAAATTTGTTGAAGTATAATATTTTACCAGAAAATGACTATGCACCACCCCAGGTAAATTGCTGATTATGCACAAAATAACTAATATGCCTGGCAGAAATTAAATATTCTTATTTCCTAAAAAAATTATCATGGGGTGAAAAACTATGCTTAATTTAATATAAATATTGTTGATTCCATAAGGATTGTCATTGTTTTCTTTAAATATAATACATTTTATTTCACTTACCCCCCACGAAAACACGATTTCAGCCATATTTTGCCGTCTTGTTTGCTTTTTATCGCCGAATCTCGCAAATATCATCCAGTTATTGTACTTTTACATAATCATAAATGGCTGAAGAAGATTTCAAAGAAGGTTTCATCCACTTTTGTAACAGTGCAGTGTATTTTACCTTCGATATTGTGTCCTTCGATATTCCGCCAAATTGCCGCCATTTTAATGGCTCGCCGCTTCTCTGTCTGATAAATGCAACTTCTTCGTTTCCATATGTATTTAGATTACAGTATCCAAGAGTACTTCATTGTAGAATAGTCCCAATCCAAAAATTGGCAAAATTTGTCCCATGCATTAGGAAGGAAAAATCCTCCCATATACCATTTAGGTTCAAAATAAAAAACAAATCATTTGAAAGTCACGCGCAATCTTCGCGAAAACTTCTCGTGGACACATGACAGGGGGGGTTGACTATTTTCACGAATGTTCGCCACCACAGAAACATAACTAAATATATTGTATTTATTGGATTTTTATGATTTATAATAAAAACAATAAATATTTGCGTAGTTTTGTCATAAATATAAAAATACAATATATTTAGTTATGTTTCTGTGGTGGCGAACATATTCCTGCATGCATGTGCGCGCAGTCTTATGACTTCAAAACGATGTCGATATCATGAGACTGCGCGCTGGCTAAGTTTATACAGTATGCCACCAATTTCAGCAACAACTCTTGTTTTTAATAACCCACTGAAATGATACACAAACGCGGTCGTACAAATCTTTGCATGTCACACTATTTTGAACGCTGCATATAGTTTTACAAGTGGATGTATAAATGCATATGACCGTGATATGATTTATGTTTTAAAACACTACAAAGGTCAAAGGAAAGATGTATGTGGATGGTATATAAATGTCAGCTTTAATAACCTTATTGAGTGACACGGTAAATTAATGAGCGGAATACAAACGCGAAACATTCGCGGTTATAGTCGTTACGCGCATAATACTATATAGCACATTAAAATATTAATTTAAGATGCTTAATAGCTTTACCGCATATGACTGAAAATTAAATGAATATATTCTCGTGAAGATGAACTGTTCAAAATATTTCATTGTTATGTTACTGACAATGTTTGATTAAATGCGTGACACTTCAAGTGCCACATTACCGGCTCGTTGTTATATCGCAGTTCTGCTTCAGGGCAGGTATTTTGAATTTCGACTTTCTGGTTTAGAAATATCAAAGTATTATAACAATATTTCCTCAACAAATATGAGCAATAGACAAAGACAATAACTTGTTATGTAAGATGGTGTGATCATATATACAGTAATAAATCTTTCATATGCAAGACAAACTGACAAAGGTCGCATAACAAACCAGATTGAACGAAGAGCATGTATAATCTAGTATATAGAATTGCAATTTTAACTTAATCGTAAATCGCAATATATTTCAGCATTTTCTTTTGCGTCAAAGTAATTTCTGTTTTAATTCTCTGAAACAAAGCAGTACGCTTAGTTAAGTTCAGTATACGA